TTTCACTGGTGCACAGGGTCAAAGGAATTCTTGAGACCATTAAATCCCTCTAGAGTCTTCGTCTCTGACCACGATTTCGCCCCCGCCCTCCCCGAATCAGATTTGACTCTGGTGACTGCACAGACAAGTCCATGTAATTTTCCTTTTCCTGCAAAAGTCAGCGGGATTCTCCCCAAGAGCACCTACAGCAATTTGTTTTGAGGCCTGTCTGATTTAGGCTGTGTGCCCCACTGCTTGACACCTTTTTCCAACATTTGTTTTTAAGTCCCATTTGACAAACTGTCAAAGCCATGGTACCCAGCAATAGACATGGTATTCGTAATTAAATCTGGTCAAGGCAGAACAGAACAGTGCTCTTCCTTCTGGGTGTTGATCCAGTTATTTGATTTATCCTTTCCTTTCATTCAGGAGCTCAAGGCAGCATTTTCTCATGTTCCCACTCCTCTTTCTCCCTAGAGCCACCACCCTGTGGGAGAGATTGTGCTGAGAGAAGGTGGCTCAAAGTCACCCAGTGAGCTGATATGTTGCTGCTGCAGAAGCCCAAGGCTTCTGATTGCTCATAAATGATGTAGATAACAGAGGCATTGAGCATGGGCAGGACACTTCTAGTGCAAACTTTTCATGATAACATAAATGAATGAACTTATTTGCCACATCCCTTCCTCTTTGTGGAGTTTTGTGATTGGAAAAAGCAAGCTGCTGTTTCCATCCCTTCCGATTATCCTGCAGGATGATTAAAACTGAACTTTGTTGTTTACAAAGATCTGCCATTCCATAATTGTCCTTATTTAGAAATTGGGGGGTTTGGCCTGCAAGCCTTGTTTGAACCCCCTTTCGGCAGCTTCTGACCATCTTTGCTGAAAACTGGCAGCATGGTTGTCCGCCAGGTTGAGTCATGAAACCCCTGGGAATAGTAGGATAAGCCATAAGGAGAGTTTAAAATAGTTCTTTATAAATGAAAAGTCCTTCTGCCCAGGAATCTAGAATAAAAATTTCTGCTTAATTCATTCTGTCCATAATGCTCTGCTCACCTTTCATCATCACCACTTCCCAACCGTAATTTATTGATTTCTTGGTCTTTTAGATTAAACAATAAAATGTGCATGCTTTTGTAATTGAATAAATATATTCTGAAGAGAAAAGGCTTTCCTTTTTCTGCTAAGATGAGGTATATTTATGTTGCAACCTGCATCTGTGGAGAAGAATCTGATCTGACAGGGAAAAGAAACATGAATCTTGATGGAATCTGCAGTACACATAAAATATAATGTGAACTCATTCTGGATTGCTAAATGGTGAAAATTATAAAGTGATCTGAGCCGTGATTTTAATCTCTTCTTTTGGCACCATTCTGGCGATTGATTCGATCCAGAGCATTTGATGGCCAATGCAGTTGATGAGGTAGCAGGGGCTGGGCTGTGTCCCTTCCCCTCTGCCTCCTTCCGGCTGCCCCTCCTCTCTGGCCACTGGCGTCTTCCCTCTGCCATTTTGCCTTGCGCTGCAGGAGAGCGGGGTACCTGGTTTCCAGTGCAGCATCTGCCTATGTCATGGCTGCCAGGTGCTTTGTGACCCACTTGTTGTATATTAAGTGGGTTCCTTATAAACCCAGCACCTGCTTTTTTCAAAGAATGGAGGATCTGCATTTAAAGAAAGAAGACTAGTCCTCTCCTGGTGAAGCCGTCGTCGATGGAAGTGTGTGTGCTTATGGTACACCTGTCTCTTGCTTGGCCTCTGGGGAGAGGGAGGTGCTGCCTGTAACTTTCTCCCCCTTTGAAGCTTCTTCCAGGGGCCTTATTGCTGAAGGTCTCAGGGAAGGAGGAAGGGCGCAGAGAGAACTGGGAGGAAGCTGTTTCCTGCTTCAGCCAGTGCAAAGCGTGCAACACCATGTTTTACAACAGGTAAAATGACAGGTTACTGACATGAAGCACACTCTGGCTCTACCCTGTCACTCTGGTAACTTGAAAGGTGGCTAAGCCTTATATCCCAGGTACCTTCCTTCAGTGATGCAGCCCCACTCCACCGTTCAATAAATAAGGTGATTGCTGATTTTTTTCTCTTGCCAACGGGTGATGCTTGATGGGGGAGGAAGGGAAGCTGAAGGAATACAGCAATTGCTGCCTTTAAATTATCCGCATGAAACCAGTAAGGGCTTTTCACCCCAATTGCTGAGGCAGGATAGGACTCAGATGTTGGGGCAGTGCAATTTTGGCTGGTATCCTTTTTTTTATAATCGCATGAGTGGAGGAACACATATGGGTACCTGGCTGTGAGAAGGGCTCTAAGGTAATTTCCAAATTGTGGATAGAGTTTGGGAGAGAATTAAGCACATCTTTAATCTATAAATGTCCATCCTCCCCAAGGCTCAAACTTTTTCTCTTTTTTTTAAATAGTAATTTTATTAAAAATTACCCTTACAATGATAAAAAAAAAACTAATACAAATTTTTAAAAATTAAAGGAAAAAAAAAGAAAAAATAGAAGGTGCAGCAAAAAAGCAAATAGAAAATAATAGAAAAGAAAGAAAAATAAGAATATAGTAAAGAAAAGGAAAAGAAATATATAAAGAAATGACTTCCCCCTTCATCACAACAAATATAAA